TACGTAGTTTAGCCTGTGTGGGATAGAGTGAACGGGTTAGCAATCTGGAGTTGGTTCGTCGTGTGTTTGGGAGTCTATCAGGGATAAACCTGTCGGCACACCGGATTCAGATTAGTAGACTTCGCTGGCTAGGACACGTATTGCGTATGCCCAGCTGTCGTCTTCCGCACCGCGCTTTATTCGCTGTAGCTAATGCAGACCGAAGGAAACCGCGCGGAGGTCAACAGATGACGTGGAGACGAGGCATGAAGAAATGCACAGAGCCATTAGGTAGAGTAGGTGTCTCACGCCTTCCAGGTTGGGGTCCGAAAGACTCCACAACCGGTTGGTCGGAGACATTGAAGTATATGGCGGCGAAGCGACAGCAGTGGCATTCTTGTCTTCATTTCTTATCAGGCCAGAACGCTTGAAACGGTATGTATGCAGAGTTCGATTGTGCACTCTGTGTGTTGACCATAGTGGTTCACCTCCCTTCCTCCTCCCTCCCACTCTCAAATTAGGTGCAATCGCTGCCCACCTTAAATTTTTATCACTAACCTTGTATGCATTGGGATTTTGTCAACGATCAGTGGAGTTCGCCTCACTGTATTTCGCTGTACTATGATGATGATGATGCACCCAACGTCACCATGACTGGGGAATTAGTAGAGGAATTAGATTAGTTTTGCTATCTGTGCAGCTATATCGGACCTGGCGGACGCGTCACAGATGAAGTGTCGGAAGGCATACAGAAGGGTGAGCTTGCATTTGCCAACTTGAGACATCTGTGGCGGCGTCGCGACATTCGGCTGTCCGTGAAGGGTGGAGTGTATGCAGTATCAGTTCGACCAGTGCTGCTCTACGGTGCAGAAACTTAGCCATTACGGGAACAGGATAGAAATAGATTGTCGGTGTTCGCGCACCGCTGTCTACGTCGCATTTCACGAGTCTGGTGGGGCAGCCGGACAATCAATGCTTATGTTAGGCGTAGAGTTTTAGGCAGTCGCGGTCATCCATTGGAGCAAGTGGCCGACCTCCATAGATTACGTTGTTTGGAGCATGTATTACGCATGTCACCAAATAGGTTGCTACGGCGGGCGATGTTTGCCGAGGTAGGTAAGGGTTGGCCAATGGTCAAGTGCGGTCAAACGAAGGCCTGGCATGAGGGTATGAAAACCCTAACGAGAAGATTGGGTCACATAGGTCGCGTTGGGCTCCCTGGCTGGGGACCCCGATATGATGGTCACCGATGGTTAGAGACACTGATTGATATGGTTTGGTGTCGCAAACAGTGGCGCTCGTGCATCCACTCATTATTCTCCTAATAGCACTATATGAATTCTCTATCTTCCGCTTGAATTTGCTCTCAACATTCAAATGTTCATCGTGCTGTTTTATCCAAATAGTTGGCCAAAAGACAGCAAGGAAAACGGGCGCACGAAAGTGCATGGTTAATGGTTTTAAAAACTGAAACAGGAAAACATTTCAATTTTGCGATCTGTTTATGGCAATAGCTGAAGCCGAGTCCGAGCTGACGGCACTTTTTCACCCGAGTTCACCACAGAAATTGGTGTTGGTCAGAAGTGTCTTCTCTCTCTATCTCTCTCTCCGTTTCTGTTGAACTTTACCATAGGTATAATTCTTGAACCAGCCCTATGGTCATGCGAGGATAGCGATGATAGGTAGGAGACTGTCTGATCTAGAGTATGCAGACGACGTGCCATTAAGTGAAGATGCAGGTAAGTAGCAAGCTCTTCTGGATAGTTTGAGTGCTAGTGTATCTATGTTTGATATGTGTGTTTTGCATCTTCAAAGTGTAAAATGCTCCTACAGGATTGGGTTGGTCCTGCAGTCAACCACATTCGGTATGTGCTTTGCATCTTCAAAGTGCAAAGTGATGCTGCAGGACTGGGTTTCGCCTACTCCCGCTGTGAAACTAAATGGCCAGGAATTAGTCATGAATTGCTTCTTCTACTTGGCTAGTTGCGTGACCAATGACGGTAGCGCAGCAAACGAGATAACCGCCCGCCTTTCGAAGGCTCGAGTAGCATACACAGGACTGAAGCACCTTTGGCGTAGACGCGACGTTTCATTGAAGTTGAAAGGTCGTGTATATAGTGCCACCGTTCGTTCATTTGTGCTTTGTGGTTGTGAGACATTGAATTTGCGAGTAGAATATATTCGTCGACTAGAAGTTTTCGATTATGGGTGTTTACGTAGTTTAGCCTGTGTGGGATAGAGTGAACGGGTTAGCAATCTGGAGTTGGTTCGTCGTGTGTTTGGGAGTCTATCAGGGATAAACCTGTCGGCACACCGGATTCAGATTAGTAGACTTCGCTGGCTAGGACACGTATTGCGTATGCCCAGCTGTCGTCTTCCGCACCGCGCTTTATTCGCTGTAGCTAATGCAGACCGAAGGAAACCGCGCGGAGGTCAACAGATGACGTGGAGACGAGGCATGAAGAAATGCACAGAGCCATTAGGTAGAGTAGGTGTCTCACGCCTTCCAGGTTGGGGTCCGAAAGACTCCACAACCGGTTGGTCGGAGACATTGAAGTATATGGCGGCGAAGCGACAGCAGTGGCATTCTTGTCTTCATTTCTTATCAGGCCAGAACGCTTGAAACGGTATGTATGCAGAGTTCGATTGTGCACTCTGTGTGTTGACCATAGTGGTTCACCTCCCTTCCTCCTCCCTCCCACTCTCAAATTAGGTGCAATCGCTGCCCACCTTAAATTTTTATCACTAACCTTGTATGCATTGGGATTTTGTCAACGATCAGTGGAGTTCGCCTCACTGTATTTCGCTGTACTATGATGATGATGATGCACCCAACGTCACCATGACTGGGGAATTAGTAGAGGAATTAGATTAGTTTTGCTATCTGTGCAGCTATATCGGACCTGGCGGACGCGTCACAGATGAAGTGTCGGAAGGCATACAGAAGGGTGAGCTTGCATTTGCCAACTTNTAGAGTGAACGGGTTAGCAATCTGGAGTTGGTTCGTCGTGTGTTTGGGAGTCTATCAGGGATAAACCTGCCGGCACACCGGATTCAGATTAGTAGACTTCGCTGGCTAGGACACGTATTGCGTATGCCCAGCTGTCGTCTTCCGCACCGCGCGAACCTCATTGATCTGTTTTAAAGTCACATGATCCAGTTCGATGTGCCCGTTTATTGAGTTAATTGAAGAGTGCCAGACCTCGAGAAATTCTCTGGCGTGTTCTCACCGGGCTTGGTCGATAATTCTCACTGATTGGAAGTCAAATTGATGTCCTTCTTGATCTTCGTGGATCGCGTGTACACCAATGCAACTCAAGGATCAAATGGCGCAACAAGAAAAGGTTCAGCCGTGACCTGAGACCGGACGAAAACCGCAATCGCGAAGGAAGGACAACCTCCCAACCCCCACCCTCAACCTCTCTCATCAGTTCAACGGCGAACTGAGTCGAACACAGTGATAACAGCGGACGAAAATCGGTGGAGAAGAACACATAAACGAACGGGTACAAGCAGAACACTGCCACTTCACAAGCACTGATGATTTCACCTCGGATGGTGATGAAACGTTTGCAAACAAATATCCAAGCTCGGTGAACAGGCGAAATGGAAGGTTATACTGACTAAGGCGCTAACTCGAGTCGAACCCCTCACCTGGAAAAACAGGAGACCGACCTCTACCCCTCGACATTCCAGGTATGATTAGATCTGCGGCTCAACAATAGCCATCCTGTGTAACTCGTCGGGTCAAAGAGGTGCACAAACCATCACACCACATCAAGGTACAGTCTCGTGGTGTTGGAAATGTGTCTATAGAGGGAATGTTTGTGTTTCAGAATTTCGTGAAAGGTTAAATTATGATAGACGAAACCTAGATCAGGGATAAAACAGCCTGATTCTCAAGCATATACCGTTCATCTGCGGCAGAGAATCAATAGAGTGTGATTCCAGCTGGAAGTCTGGAAGTACTGTTAGTCAAGCTAGTTCCTCTGTGGTCCTCACGAGATAACTTATCGCCTTGTTATTTGGTATTTGTTTAAGGTCACGGGTGAGAGGGACCAAACAATGTGTAAACAATAAAGCAATCGCACTGTACACGCCCTCACGGAGAGGAAATTCTTGGATGAATGAGCTTGACCAATTGTAACTCTCCTGGAAAGAGAATCATATCATTAAGTGACGTATTCCTGTTACCTCGATGCGCTATTTCAAATGCAGTCTTTTCAGTTGCTCCACTTTTATGCATTTATCCAAATGGACAGCCAAAAGACAGAAACCGAAACCACCGCACTTAGTTGTATGGGTTTTTTGTGCAAACTGAAAGTTCATGGCCGATATCTCAACAAATCGGGATTTGAATGAGTTATTTCTTTCGAATGACACGAAAATTCTCTGGTGAGTGAGCTGTTTCTCATAGTTCTCGGTTGAAGATCAGGTCCCAAGTACCTCTTAAGAGATTGCCACCTTGGCATTCAGACATTGTCGCAGCAGAACTCATCTCTGTTGTTTGTTGTGCTTCATACACTCCACTTTTTGTCTTCTTATCATTCGCATACAATGTTTCTGATGTGCAACTTTCAAGGGTCACTTTCTATTTCATCATTGAACTGCAATTTATTGTTTCTGTGCATTTTACCTCCTTCATACAGCTGTGGTAATATTAATTGGGCACGAAGAACCACATGCAACGTGTGCAATACCCCTCGAGTGAACACAATGGGTGAACGCACAGGCTATGGTGGGGGCTATATGGAGCGCGATAAAGTAGTTGAGTATAGAAAACGAGGTGATTCAGACGACGAATTCGACGAGTTTGGTCGCAAAAAGAAGAGATTCCGTAAAACGAGTGATGATCGAAAGATTGAGGTCCCAACAGTCGCATCTACTTCCACATTATTAACAACAGGATCTAGTTCGTTTCGATCCGAAGAGGACAAGGTTATAACGCGGCCGAATCTGTCTAAGTATGATATTTGGGGTGCCGAAGATGACGATGATGGTGACAACGAAAAAGGGACTAGAGATCAGCTCCAAAAGGTTATATCCGCTACCGACGCTACTCCCGCCATGACGTCACCAACCTCCCATTCCGCATCCGAATCGGAATCGGACTCAAACGTTTCATCTTCTTCCGAATCATCTTCTTCATCGTCGTCCTCGACTGCTTCTTCATCAGGCTCCGCTGAACAGGGCTCTCCAAGCACAAA